GGTTTCTCCTCACACTCAGTCATTCATCCCACTGCAATGGCTGGGCATTAATATGGCACTAGAAATGCAGAGAAACCAAAAGGCGATGACTTGAAGAGCCTTCTCTCCTGCAGAATGCCCAAAACCCAAGGAATGGCAGCAAGGCTTGGTGCTRTCACCAGCCAGCGACCGCTTGGGCAGAGAGCATTGGCACAAGAGCTGAATTCAGAGAGCCCTTATCCACAGCCAAAAAGCAGCAGGAATATTCTCGCCTTACACCAGCTAAGGCATTTCAGCCCTTGGGCTCTCGTTGAGCCTCCTCGGCAGGTTGCAGACACCCCCGGCACTTGGAAGGGAAAATCACCTCTAACTTTAAACTCTGCTGCCTTTTTGGCTTTGTCTTCCTAGATGCTTGGATCTCTCGTTAGGGCTGTCACTAAGTCACCACTGAGACAAGGCAGGGCAGCAACATATGCCCAGCACAGGTGAACACTAATTATGAAGACTTCCAGTAGAGCTGCTGCTCACCCACTAGCAGAGCTCCAGGGAGAGAGCTCCAAGTCAGTTTTCCCAAGTATATTAACACCTGTCCACTCCAGAGGAGTCTGGAGTGCTTGGAACACCTGGAGCAGATCTCAGGTACAGCTGCAAGTGCAATTCATCCCACCTCTCAGCAGGCCAGACCTCTATTTGGAGCAAGCAGGCTGGAATCCAGGCTGCTCTTCTGAAAAACGCAGTTGCATGAGCAGCTTTGCCACTTGCAACAGCCTATACCCGGGCACACAGCTCAGGACACACCAGTGCAGCCACTTAAAGCTTATTTAGAGCTGCAAAACATCCTTCCACCAAGGGAAGCTATTGCTGCACACCTGTGAGCAGGGCACAGGGAACAAACATCACCCGAGACACAAAGCGAGCAAACACCACAACACAGAGACTACCTGGGCTGAAGGCAAGCTTTTGCTCRGGACTACTCTGTGATAGCAGCTTCTGACTTCTACCATTGCTTTGGAAAAGGTCACCTGATAGCAGCTGTACACGGGTTTACAGCTTAGTCACTGCAGCCACAAGCGCCCAGCCCTGCGCCATTCGTTCCAGTCGCGAGCGGCGTGGGACACGTCGCTTCCGTGGGGGAAGTCGGCCACATCACACGGTATCTGATCCGGATTGCTGACAGGACTCGGGCAAGGAGAGGAGGGGGAAGGGAACGGGCGGATAACACCAACTTCCCMGAGCTGGAGCCGAGCGGTTGGGAAGGTGGCGAGAGCAGTCGGAGCCTCAGCACCAGGGCAGGATTCGGAGGCTGAGCTTGGAGCACAGCTTCATTCCCCTACTCATTGTGCTGTATTCTTAACAGCTGACAAAGCACAGCTTTTCCCCCCTCATTTGCTGGGCATCTCAAAGAGAAACTTGGCACGGGGGACTTGCCCAAGCCATCCGGAAGAAAAGCTACCCCAGTTTCTCAATGCATCAGCACAGCAAAGGCCCCAGGGGTTCCACCCCACACACTGCCCTCTCGGGCAGCCTCCCCATTCCGCTCTTTGGTTCAGCTTTAGGCAAACAGAGCCAGAAGTGCCCTTTGGACTCRCGCAGAGGGTGGCTGTGTGGACATTCCCTAGCCAGGCTCCAATAGGGCTGTATCCYGGGCTCTTGCACAAAGCAGAGGGACTCCTCCAGGCTCCATCACAACCACTGGAGGCCCCAGGGAGGATCAGCACGGGCCTCGCACGGAGGACATGGTCAGGGGTGCACAGGGAGGACCAGGCACCGAGCAGAGCAAGGCAGGGGTGAAGAGTCCCCTCAAATCTAGGCCACAAGAGTCACTTCATCAGTGGTATCAGCACACACATTACTCACGCCTTCATGGCAATGCACAGAGAGCATCAGGGCGCTCCCCGGCCCTCCCAATTAGCCACAACTCAAATACCCCGAAGCTACTCGAGGTCAGCAAGAGCTCCAGAAGACAGAGCCGCCTCACTGCTCCACGCAGACAGGACGGTTCCCGAGACACAGGGCTGGCAGTTCCGCTTTGAGCAATTCCCAAGGCAAGGGGGAAACATCATCTGTTAAAAATGTGAGCAATAGGGTCTGCTGAAACTCAGGAATGCCGCTGCCGAGATCCATGCATTCCTCACGTTACTTTTTTTAGTYCCTAAACTGGTCATCCCAGAACCCTGGAAGAGGAGGGGGAGGAGAGCAGCCCCACTATCCAGGACAGCTTAATTCCCAAAGGATTGCCTGGAAAGCTATAAAGCACAGGCAGCAGCGAGAGCACAGCAGAGTCAAAGCACTCACACTTTTTTCCATSTCTAGACCAAAGGAGATTTGAGACACTTCAAGCACTTGCACACAGCATTAAGGCAGGCTGCACAGAAACTATAAAGTTTAAGTCCTGGAACAGAGAAGTATCAATTGGAATTGAAGATTTTTTAAAAAAAAGCTCAGCTAATGCAAAACAGATGAGGCCCCCAGCTTCAAGAGGAMGCATTAACTGTTGCTTTCCATTTTGTCTCTCCAGACACCCAGCTTCATTTCTACACAGCAGCAGCTACAGTTTCCCATCCGGACAGCCGCAAAGCCGAGACAACGGCCTGTTAATTATACATAAAGGGGAGCCCTGGATGCTGYCCGAGGTTGCGGTGAAGACAAGGGCTCCCACACATCCATTGCTGGGCTTCGGTGCTGGTCACAAGCAGGACAAGCTGCTGGGATGGAGGGTGCTGCTTCCAGAGGGGCATTGCAGGAGCTAGGTCCCTGTCACCCCAAGGCTCTGSTCCAACCCATGGCCAAGGGGAAGATCCAGGGGTGCTCAGGACTTAGTCTACAAAGGGGGGCGCCCCAAGGGCCTCAAGCGAGGAGGCAGCCAGGCTGGTGTTGCCCCACAGAAGACAGAGGTAAAACCCACCCCATCACCCCAGGGGAGCCCATGAGGCCCCACACACCCTGTCAAGAACCCCAGGCCCCACAAAGAGCTTCAGGGGCCTCTAGAGGAGCCTAGGGCCACACAGAACCCACAAGGAGACCTCACAGGGCCCCACACAGAGCCTAAAAAGATCCTAGATGAGCCTCAGGCAGAGCCACCCTAAACAAAACTTAAGGCCCACAGGAGCCCCAGACCTCACCCAGAGCCTAGAGAGGCCACAGAAGGACCCCAGACAGACCCCAAGGGAGCCCCAAATCCCACAGAGACCCTAGACAGCCCCAAGAGGAAGCCCAGACTCCACAAAGAAGCTAAGGGGGCTGCAAACAGAGCCCAGGCACCACAAAAACCCCCAAGGAAACCCCAGCAGCACCCAAGGGGGCCACCAGCCCCAGAGGGACCCCAGGACAAGGGGACCCCGGGGCCCACGGAGACCCCGCCCCGGGGCCCACGGAGACGGCGCCGGGGGCCAGGCCCGCGGCGGCAGCGCTCACCTTATCGAGGCAGTTCACCTTCTCGGTGGGGTACACGATCTTCCCGCAGCGCGCGCAGTTRGGATTCATGGCGGCCGCGCTGCCTCTGCCGCCGCCCGCCTCGCCGCCGCCCTTAAATAGGGGGAGGGGCGTGGCCGGGAGGCGTGGCCGGGGACAGGAGGAGGGGCTGGAAGGAGGGGGCGTGGTCAACGGGCGGGGGCGGGGCGAGAGCGCGCGCCCCCCCCGCACCGCCTCCCCCCGCCACGCTCCCCTGCGCACGCGCAACCTCGCTCGCAACGTTTCCCCTCTTTGCACGTCCCCCCGTCGCGCATGCGCCGCACGCCGCGCACCCCCCCACCCAACCCCTTTGTGCGCGTGCCGAGCTCCCCGCGTGGGCTCCCCACACTCGCCCTTCCGCGCGCGCGGCAGCTCCGCCCACGCGCCGCGCTCCCGCGTGGCGCGGCGGGGCTAAGAGCGCTCGCGCGGGGATGTGGGCGCGTGGGGGTATAGCTCAGTGGTAGAGCATTTGACTGCAGATCAAGAGGTCCCCGGTTCAAATCCGGGTGCCCCCTTAATTTGAGGTTTTGGTATGGTTTTCCTCCTTTTTCCACCCCAGTTCAAGTCCTAGCAGCTCGCATTTGGCAGCAAGACTCCAGCTGCCAAGGGCTTCACAAGCTGAATTCCCATGCAGGTCTAAATGCAGCCCTTCTTCCAGCAGGATTTGGTGGAAATTGTCTGCAAACACGGTCCCGGCCCTACTGGGAGCATGGTGGGGATAAAGGCGGATCCCACAGGCTTCACGCTCCRAGTGCGGTGCCCTGAATGGCTGCCAGCGCAGGACGTTGTAATGACCCTAACTAAATCACTGCTGGGGAGGGACCTGTGCCTTAAATCCCCCAAGTCCTCCTCTCCTCGAGCGYGTTACGGAAGGGCCCACAGCATCCACAGCAGTGGTGTTGAGGGAGGCACTCAGTTTCTYTCCTTCCCCTTATATGTTTTAGCAGGCAGCTTAAAATTCCTCTCTTCATTTCAAAACCGTTTCATCGCATCCTGCTGCAGCAGCAGCTGCTTCTTCCCYCTGGGAAGCCCTCGCACCGCTCTCCCCAGCCTCCTGCCAAAGCTGCCTGCTTTTCCTGGTCCCTCTCAGCTTCCAGCAAGCCGGGCTGCTCCCCCTTCAGCACCCAGACACGGGGCTGCAACCCTGGGAGAGGATTAGAAGGGGGCACCGGGGTCACTGCTCCAGGAAAAGGAGCAAGAAAAGGGGATTTCGGGGTCGTTGTGAGCGGGGCGGCGGGGCTGCTGCAGGCGGCGCCGAGCGCCATTCCCAGCGCGTGGGGGTATAGCTCAGTGGTAGAGCATTTGACTGCAGATCAAGAGGTCCCCGGTTCAAATCCGGGTGCCCCCTTTTTYSATTTCCTGTTTTTTTTTTCCTTCCTGTTTTTCATCACTTGATTAAAAGAAAATACGTTTAAAAAAAGCGCAGAGAAGAAAGTAGCATTTATTTCACCAAATCCTACCGGCGCGCTGCCTCCGCGGCGTGTGTGCGCGCGCGGTCACGTGACCCTCCCCCCACACACACTCCGCGGTCACGTGGTGTGGGCGGCGCCGCACGGCGGCCTCCCTTCCCGGCGTGCCTCGCGCGCCGTCGCCTCTTCCGGCGCCAAGATGTCGAAGCGCGGTGAGCGGCGGGCGGGTCGTGGCGGCGGATCCGGCGCCATCCGCGCCCCCTCTGCCCGGCGCCGGCCCGGGGCGGCGGGGAGTGG